CCTATAGGTTTTGCAGACAGTTTGCCCTTCCTAGCCATTAAATTGGGAAGTGACACTTATTTATGTTCCCTCCTCAGCACCCCTAAATTATTGGTGTCTTCCCACTGTGTGTGTCCTCATCCTCACCCTCATTACTTCTCCAGGGCCTGGGCAGTGTCCCCTCTGGTTTGGGGCAGGGCTAGCTGGGAGGGGTAGTCACTTTTTTTCATATGATTTTGATTTGGTTTTTCTGTTTCTTACCTCCATCCCCAACCCTGCTCCTCAATTGCCCCCCACCCCCAAGAAAGATAAACATTAATAAAACATTCGAGCGGAACCATACCCTTGGCTCAGGCCGCCGCCTCCGTCTGCTTTGTCCTGCCGACCCTCAGCCTTCCCTGTAACCCCCCAGAGCCCAACTCAGAGCCCACTTCATCCCTCTCCTATCCCACCCCATGGCTGTCTGTCCCCCTCACTCCCATCTCCATTGTGTCCCTCTTCCCCCATCCTTGTCCTTTTTCGCTTTGCTCTCCTGGCAGTGTTCCCTGCCCTACAATGGTTTTGCATTAGTTTCTAGGGCCCAGAATATGGGAGGTGTTGGCTCCCTTGCCCCTAAGATATTCATCCCCTTGAGGCTTGGGTCTCTTCCCATCATCTCACCTGGACCTGTTAATCAGATGCCTTTGTCATCCTACCTTATGCCTTTGTTCATTCTGCCTTGCCCCTTCACTGCACATTCTCCACTCCACCCACAGTCTTGTCCAATCTGCCTGCCTTCCCCTTCCCTCATTCAGGCATGGCCCTTGAGGGCTAGGGGAAGGGGGAGGGTAGCAAGCCCCCCATAGGGGGCAAACAGACTGAAGGGTAAAGCGTGGATCCTATGGGACAGGCTGGGGATAGGGGACTAAAAAAGATGGGTCTGGTTGTGGGAATGGAATGCATCAAGTGGAAGGACAGGCAGTGAGGAAAGGGAAAACCGAAGTAAGAAGTAAGATCTGGGAGGAGAGAGGGAATGGGGCATATAGCACTGGGTGTATTGTCAGGGCAATAGTTCCACAACCACCTGTGGTCCTTGCACCGTCAGGGCCAGAGACTCTTTATAGTCCCTTCTGCCATCCCTCGCCCCACTCCCTGCTGCCTCCTTATATAGGTCAGGTCCCTGTACTGGGAGAGCACCAGGGAGGGCACAATGCCTTCTCTCCTGATTCCCAGTTGGTGGTAGACTTTCCCTTCCCCAAGGCGCCATTTGTAAGACTCTCTTCATAGTGCTCTGGTCCTTAAAGTGTGTTCTGTATGTCAACTTTACCCTTTTCACTGGTTCCCCATCTCTTGGTCATGTATTCTGTGGTTCTCAGTCATTTGTTTTCTCACATGTGTGTTCTCTTTGTCTCTTGTGCACACTCTACTTTCACTGCATGCTTTCTCACTCATCTCTAGCTCCATGCATATTTATGTTTTCCGATACTGTCTTGAGTATTTTCTGTGCTATGTTCTGTGTTCAGTGTAATTCATACTCTTCTGTCTTTGTGTTTAGCTTCCCCTCTCTCTGTCTAACATGTTTTCTGTTTCTCTCCCCTCTCTCTGTCTGCTTCGGTCTTTCCCTCTCCCTCCTTGTCTTCCCTTACCCCCCTTCCTTTGCCCTGTCCCATCATCTCTCCACTCAACCCATCCACTCCGTAGTCGAAGGAGTTGCAGATCAAGAAGCAGTTCCAGGAGACATGTAAGATCCAGACTCGGCAGTACAAGGCCCTTCGGGGGCACCTGCTGGAGGGCACCCCCAAGGCCCAACACAAGAGCCTCCTTAAGCGGCTTAAAGAGGAACAGACCCGAAAGCTGGCCATCCTAGCAGAACAGTATGACCAGTCCATCTCTGAGATGCTCAGCTCCCAGGCAGTAAGGCTCAGCAACGACACAGAGCTTGGGGGGGAAAACAACTGGCCTAATGTTAGAGGCAGAATGCCTCAGCAGTCATGGAGGGAAGGTGGGAGAAATTCAGGGCAGGGAACAGGTTTGGAGCCCAGGGTGGGGGGTCAGGTGTTTCTTTGACGTCTGACCCCAGCTCCTACCCTCTCCTAGCTTCGCCTGGATGAGACCCAGGAGTCAGAGTTCCAGGCACTGCGACAGCAGTTGCAACAGGAGCTGGAGCTGCTTAATGCCTATCAGAGCAAGATCAAGATACGGACAGAGAGTCAGCATGAGCGTGAAGCACGGGAGCTGGAACAGAGAGTGGCACTAAGGCGGGCCCTTTTGGAGCAGCGGGTACGGGTAGGGGCCCCAGAGCGTTGGGGGTGGAGGAAAGCTGATGCATATATCCCTCCACCCAGACCCAGCCCTGAGTACATATCGTATGTCATAGGTGGAGGAAGAGCTGCTGGCACTGCAGACAGGTCGGTCAGAGCGCATCCGGGCGCTGCTAGAACGGCAGGCTCGGGAGATCGAGGCTTTCGACGCAGAAAGCATGAGGCTGGGTTTCTCCAGCATGGCTCTGGGAGGCATCCCAGCTGAGGCTGCTGCCCAGGGATATCCCGCCCCTCCCCCAGCCCCTGCCTGGCCCTCCCGCCCCGTACCTCGATCAGGGGCTCATTGGAGCCATGGTCCTCCTCCACCTGGCATGCCCCCCCCAGCTTGGCGCCAGCCTTCTCTCCTGGCACCACCAGGTCCCCCAACCTGGCTGGGGCCACCACCCCAGACAGGGCCTCCCCGAGGTGGGGCCCTCCTGCTGCTAAGGAATAGCCCACAGCCCCTACGCAGAGCAGCCTCAGGGGGTGGGGGGAGTGAAGGAGTGGGGCCTGGCTCAGTAGCAGGGCCTGGGGCTCTGAGCCGAAGTACTAGTGTTGCTTCTCACATCCTTAATGGCTCTTCCCATTTCTACTCCTGAACCGTGTGGGGGGCTTGGTGATGTCCCTTGCTTGGGTTCCCTCCACCTAGGCTGAAAGAAGACAGGGGTGGGGGTAGAGAGCTGATGCCAGGGTTTCCCTGGGGCTGGAAGGGCCTAGGTCCCTCAGCAACTGGACCCTGGAAGATTGAGGTCCTGAGTCAACCCTTAGAAGGGGAGGTGTCAGCACATTGCTCCGACTCCCCCTAGTACCTTCTCATTTTGTGAGCTTCCCTTGGGATGAAGTCAGGCCCCTGGGCTCTGGGCTTGGGAGTATAGCTTGGGCCCCAGTGCAAACCCAGGAATTCCTGACTTTCCCATCATGGTGCCAGTATCTTCCTCCATCATGGACTGGGGAAGGGGGAGATTGTGTGCGTGTGTGTGCGTGTGTGCGTGTGTGCGTGTGTGTGTGTGTGTGTGTGTGTGTGTGTGTGTGTGTGTGTGTGTGTGTGAGAGAGAGAGAGAGAGAGAGAGAGAGAAATACCCACCTAGGGTGCCTTGGGAACCTGTATAGAGTCCCTGGGCAGTGGGGGAGGGGTGGTGGGGTGTAGATACATAGATATATTCAGAGAAATATAATAATCCCTCCAGGTGCCCTCATCATGTTGTTGCCAAGGGAACTCTGGGCCCAGGGGGCATGAGATTGGGTCCTAGGAGGAGAGCAGGGTCTGGGGGTATGAAAGGCCCCTGGGTGGCAGGGAGAGGAGGAGGATACCTGGGTAGAAAGCTCAGTACCCCTCCTCTGAACCCTGCTTCCCCCATTGCTGTCTGATGTCCTGTGCCCGTCTTGTCAAGTTAATTTTTTTTTTAAGTCAGGGTTGGGGCTGGGGAGGGGGGAGTGAGGGTTAGACCTGGGAAGAGGCAGCTCCCTGGGGGTGGCAAATCAGAAGGAAACCTCACAGCCCCCTTTATATTCCTGCTGTTAGAGGCAGGATGGGGGCAGTCAGGGCCAAGGCTCCTGGAACTTAGGGGCCATCATGGAACCCTGGGGCCAGGGGAGCTTTTAATAAACTGTTGGATATTCTAACCAGCTCCTTGACTCAGGCTTTCTCTCTAAGATGGGCAACATTAAGCTGTGCCCCTCATTTTCCAGGTGGCACACTGGAATCATGGAGCTTCCTGGCCAGGCCCTTGCCTTATTGGAGTTTACACTGGTCTGGTGCTTTGGATTCCCATTCATTTATGTCAGTCATTTCTGACCCCAGGGCCCCTCCCAACTACACCTTTCCCCCCTTACAATGAAATCTCCATCATTACCTTAAAAGTTAAGCAAAACCATTATGACATGAAGAGTATAAGCAATATTCCGTTTCACAGTCTCCTACTACTCCAAGATAAGTATTTTGTCATCTCTTCTCCAAGGCTGATTGTTCATTTTAATTATTCAGTGGGCTTCCCTTTTAGTTCTGTCTTTTGGAAGAGGCAGTCTTGAAGCCTGGCCTAACTACCTTAACATTCCACTCCAAGAGAAGAGGTTCTGTTTAGCTATCCTCAGTAGCAAAGCTGAATAACCCTGGGCTTGCCCAATTTATTTATTTGGGGGGCGAGGACATGCTTGCCCAATTTAAAGCCTGAACTAAGTTGAAGCAGGTGGGAAAAGGCCAGTTGGAGACTAACAGGCTATAATCCAGGTGTGAGCAGAACACCTGCTTCCAGGTCTTAGGCCAGGGGAACAGACTACTGTTTTAGAAACCAAATATGGCTGAAAGGAACCCTTGGCAGTATTTAGTGTGGCTTCTTCATTTGACTTATGATTAAATAGACCTTAAGAGGTAAATTAAGCTTGTCTAAAATGACATGGCTGGTTAAGACTCCTGGAGGAGTTACAGCTTCATTTCTCAGAGCTCTTGTGAGAAAGGAAGCAGCAATGAGCTAAAACCACTGGTTTATCTGTCCCAGTGGTATACTGCATCTCACCTTTGCATACAGGAAAACTAAGAGAGCTTAAGTGATCAGAAGGGGAGATGAAAGAGAAGTATAGAAAGTTTTCATAGGCTGTTTTGGAGTAAAAATGGTTGGTTACTGGGTCCAAGCCTTGAGAACTGCAGTGATAAGCAATCTGAGTTGGGCCAGCTTTCCTGAACCTTGGCCCAGAAAAAAAGGCCCTGGCCTCGCTTCCGTTTTGAACCAGAAACATGAAACAATAGATAACAAATATTCATTTATTGAGACTTTTAAAGCCCACACAAATGCCAATATTTCAGTCAAAACAGGAGAACAAGAATCTAAGAGCCCAGACTCTCAACTTTATCCTTGTAGGTATGAAAGCCACTGCTGTTACATTCACCATTCCAGGTAAGAAAAAGGTTTACCTACCATGGACAGACAAAACTGGAAACAGGAAAGGAAATACATTTATAAATACTTAGACCCAGTAGGGGGTGCTCTATACACTTTATACAAGGGCAGGAGCAGATTCCTTCCTATGCTTAGAGGCACTGTGGCTTCTAGAAGCTGTGGGGCTGCTTAGTCACTCTCCCCATCACTGCTGATGATGCCCCGAAGGTTTGACCAGTCAGTAGGTGGTGGGTGGGCCCTTGGCTCATCCCCATCTGAATCCAGGGCTCTTCGATGATATAGCTCCTCCTGCAGTAGCCCAACTTCCCCACGAGGGTTCCAGGCATTTCGTCTCCGAGACCGCCCTAAGAATTACAGCATTTAGAACTAGAATGGATCTTAACGATTCTTCCTAGCTATTTTGTGGAGAAGAAAACAGACCCTGAGAGATTATGGCATCCAAAGTCACAAAGATGGTCACGAATATAGTAAGTAGGGCAGCCAGGATCTGAACAAACTTCCAAAAGAGTGCTTCAGCATGTTCCCTTATGAAAGCAAAAGGTCAGTGTGGAACTGACCTGAAAGCCTTTTTCCCTTTTCTGTTTTCACCACTCTTCACACCCCTATATAGAATAATAATAGCATTAAGATTGTGCCTTAAGGGATCTTATTTGATCCTAACAACAACTTTATTAGGTAGGTGCTATTATTATCCCCAATTTTCAGGTGAAGGAGTAGAGAATGATAGAAGTTAAGTGACTTGCCCAGTCAAACAGCTAGTGTGTTAGGTAGAATTTGAACTCAAACCCTCTTGACTCTGGCCTTCTATTCACTATGCCACCTAACTACCTCTACACACCTGCCTCACTCTCTGCAGCTCCCCTTTCCTCACATCCGTACCTGAACTACTGATGATGTTACTGACATCCAAAGAGGCCATCTCTGCTGCCTCCTCCCTTCGCTCCTTCACTGCTCGGCACTTCTCCAGGGAAGGGTTACCTGAGAGAAAGAAAAGGACTAGGTTTGTTTTTTGTTGTTGGGTTTTTTTTTTAAGTTCAGCCTCAACATCTTTTCCAACCTAGGATGGAACAAGGAGAGTGACCTCCAGAAGAAGGAAGTGGCTTGGGCCAATACCCTCTTACTCATTACTCTTTCCATTTCCTGAATCTTTCTTTGACTTGTCTTCCTCACTATCTCTTCAATCACTGGCTCTTTCCATTTTCTTTTTAAGCAGGACTTTCCTTGAGCTCCTCTGGAATTTTGTGTCCTCAACCTATCACTGTCAATCTGATCACCCAGGATGTCAATAAAAATTTTCTGCCTACCATGTGTGCAAGGTACCATTCCAACCACTGGAGATACCTGCCCTCCCCACCCCACCCCCCGTCAAAAAAATAGCAAGCCCAGTTTTCAAGAAGCTTCTATCCTAATGGGCTTCCCCTCTTTCCTTGTTTCCCTTCCCAGTTGTCTTCACCTTACCCTCTAAGCCTAAATCTTGCAGTTCTGCCTTGAGGACTCTGAGTCGTTCCTGATGAGAGCGGCAGGAACCCAACAGTCTCTTGTAATTTCTATGGGCACCACAGGCTCGAATGTATCGCTTTAGCCGAACTACTGCAGGGTGGTCCTCTCCTCTTCGAGAGCCCTGGAATAGGAAGGCTGAAAGTGAGATTGTAGTCACCAAGGACTACAGCCAGGTTGGGGGCAAGATAGAGAAAAACAAACCCTCAGACTTCATCCTTGACTCATAGTTGACCGACTCTTCTGAAGAATCCATTTACACTCTCTCCTTACCCTTTCCATACAAAGGATTGCTCCAAATCACCAATAAGAAATTTGAATCAAAGTGATATTGTTTTACCTCATACCCAGTAAAAATTGACAATGACAAAAGATGTGAGTCATTCAGTATCGAAAGGTGATGAAAAGAGACACTAGTACGTATACTGTTGGTAGAGCTGTGAATTGGTCTAACCATTCTGAAAACCAATTTGGAACTGTACTAAGAAAGTGACTAAAATATCCATATCCAGAGATCCTACTATTTGGCATACACCCTAAGAAGGCCAAAAATAGAAAGGTCCCACATACACTAAAATAGCAGCACATTTTATAGTTGCAAAGAACTGGAAACAAAAGTAGGTGCCAGTGGACAGGGGAAAATGGGGTATAAAAATATAATGGAATAACATTGCCGTAAGAAACCATGAATATGAATAAAGAGAAGTACACATTTATATGAATTGATGTAAAGTGAAGTAAGCAAAACCAGGAAAATAATGAAAACAATTGATTACAACAATGAAGGAAAGAACAAAAATGTATTTGTCCCAGAAAAACAGAAGAGAAAACACACTTCACTCCCTTTTTTGTAGAGATGGGCGACTATGGATGTGAAACACTGCATATACTGTCAGGCCATTGACGTGTTGGGTTTTGCTGAACTGTCTTCCCCCTTGCCCCCTTTTCTATTGTTTGTTACAAAGTATGAGTGGAGAGAAGTGGGATACATTTGGAATAGAAGCAGACATAAGAACAAAAGGTATCTATATAATTTTTTTTAACATAAATAATTTTTAAACCAAATCTTTCCTTCCTGTCCTCTCAACCCTGCCCCCCCGCACTCCCATGCCCCATGTCTCACCTTCCCTGATTTGGCCTCTGGGCTACTATCCTGTGAGGAAGTGGAAGAGGGTGGTACACGGCCCTTTCTGGCCTCCTTCTTCTTGGTCCTTCCTGTCCTTTCTTCCTCATCTTCACTTGTTTCAGACTCATTCTCAATGTTTTTGACTTCCTTCTCCCTGGAGCAACTCTTGTTACTGTCATCCGTTCCACTTTCCTCCTCACTGGGAGCTTTTTTCCTTCCCTTCTCTGCCTCACTGCTATCCTCGCTCTCTTCCTCCACAGCCTTTTTCTCTCCCTTCTTCCCAGAATTGCCCTTCCCCTTCTTGTCCCTCTCTTCTTCACTGCTTTCACTCTGTTTCAGTGACTTCTTCCCTCCTCTTGCAGTTTTTGCTTGCTTCCCTCCTGGCTTCCCTCCCCTTATTTTCTGGTCCCTGCAATACTCATTGCTTTCCTCTTCCTCATCACTACTCGTGCTATTGTCTTTCACCACTTTTCTCATTCCCTTCTTCCTAGAACTCCCCTTAAATCTAGTGTTCTCTTCAGCAACTGGTTTTGGTTCCCTTTTCCTAGCCAGATCTTTTTTCTCATCGTCTTCACTACTTTCCTCATTCGCTGACTTTCCAACCACCTTCTTCCTGGCAGAATACTCCTTCATTTCCTCTGGAGGTTTTGGTCTCTTCTTCTGAGGTATAACTCCGTCCCCCCCCTCACTGTCAGTCTGATCACTGTTAGTCAGCTGCACGGCTTTCCTTGCTCCCTTCATTCTAGGATTTACTTTCTGCTCCTCCTTACCTGGCTTTGTTGATTCCTTCTTTCCAACCCTACCCTTATGTTTGTGACATGCTTCCTCCTCACTGCTGCTTTCACTCTCCTCCTCCAAAACTTCCTTTACTCCCTTCTTTCTTACAATGGCCCTAAACTCCTCTTCTTCCTCCTCTTCTTCGCTTCCTTCCTCAAGGTCCTCATCCTCCTTAGTTGTCATCTTCCTGGATGGAGTTAGACTCTCCTCAGGCTCCTTCACCCCCTTCTCAGAAGAGCAGCAATCCTTTGTTGTTATACCATTCCCTGCCAGGGACCTTGGGGAGCTTGGGGGGCTCTCGGGCTGGGGATCAAGGCCTGAGTCATCTGAGCTGTGTTCTGGAATGCACAAGGAAGCCAAATCTGCAAACAAGAACTTTCCTCCACTGTGGTTAGCAGTCCCTCCCCCCATACCTTTTTTTCCCCTGCCCCTTTCTCAGCATCCTTGGGCCCCGACATAAGGAGTTGGATCTTCCATGTCCGAGAGGTGGATGACCAAGCTTAAGTCAAAGGGGATGTGGGCACCGAGTTGGGGTGGGGAGGGAGTAGAGGAAACCAGAACAGGAGGGGAAAAACGAGGACAGGATGATGGAAAACAGCTGGGTGCTCAGGTTCAGGTCCTGGCTGAGCCAGGGACAACATCCAGGTAGGGGTGGGCTACCCTCGTTCCACCAGCAAGAAGGGGGCAGCCCCTCCGCCCTCCCGCCGCTTGGCGGGCCGACCTGTCTCTGAGTTGATGCACGGCTTCCTCCTCTTCTTCACTTGGGACGTTCTGGAGGCGCTGGCTGGGCTGAGGGGCCGCTTCACCCGGTCCTGGTCCCCAGACAGCAGCTCCTCTTCCTCCTCATCCCCCTGACAGGGGACGGGAACGTCAGTGGGAAGGGGCCAGCAGGAGAGTCCCGGGGCCTCCCCTCCCCCAGCTCCCTTTCCCACGCCGCCGCGGGGGGCCGAACCCACCTCCACCTGCATCTTCAGCAGCTCCTCCTCCACCAACCGCTTCAGCTTCCTCTTGTCCTCGGGTTCCAGGTGGTCCAGGCCCACATGGGCCAGGTACTTCTGTCGCACGATGGAGTGGGTCAGCACGCTGGGGGGCGGGACTCGGAGTCAAGGGGAGGGCGCGGGGGCGGGCTCGGGTGCCCCTCCCCATCGGGCTCCCCGGGCGGGGTGCGGCCCGACGCGGCCCACCCAGGCTCTCTCCCGCGGCTCGGTGCCCGGGGGGCCCGAACCCTCCCTCGTCTCCCTTCTCCTCCCCTATCCCTTCTCCCCTCTCACCTCAGGTCGGGGCGACCCCGGAAGAGGCTCCGGATGAAGTCCTGCATCTCGCGTTCCCGCGCCATCTTGCCCCGCCCCCTGTCCTGCTCCCACAACTCCCGCCTTTTCCCCACCCTTGCACATGCCTCTTTCTCGCACCGTTTCCTCCCCTTCCAGGCCACCGTAGTTTTGGCTCGATCGGGGCGGAGCTTCACGCTGTAAGTAGTAAGTTGCGGAGGCGGTCTGCTAGCCAGGGGGCGGGAAGCGGCCTCCGAGTGGAATTGTGAATTTGGTGATTTTTCTCTTTTTCGAAAAGATGTGCTCAGTTTTGCTTGGGTAAATCGCTGCAGGCGCTTCCGCCGCGCTCGGGTGCGACGTATTCATTTCGCAAAGTCTGAGCGTGGTCCTAATTCTTCCAGCGTAACATCATGAGTTTAAAAACTCGAAGAGGGCCGTGATCTGAGAACGTCGTAATACAATCCTTCGAACTTTTAACTTCTCAGGTGGAGTTATGGGGCGACAAACGTCTTTGCTCGTTTTTCGTGATGTCATCGCGTCTCTACGCGCCCGTTGGTCAATACTGCAGCTGAGCCAGAGTTAACTTTTTTTCCCCCCTTTACTGGTTTCGTTGCGCATGCGCGTTCCCCTGACATTCTCGGGTAGTCCGTTTTCGTGCCACGTTCTTCGCCTCAACCTTTTGGGTGGGTGCCTCTGGGAATTGTAGTCTCAAGTGGGAGGGAGTAGGCGGATTCCGGAAGTTGGGTGCCGGAGAGCGCCTGTTGTGGGGTGGGGAGTAGTTAACGGTTCTCCCCAGGCCTTGGGCAGGGGGGGGCCCTCCTCCGCAGGGCCTGTAGCCCGAGCCTGAGTAGGATCGGGCATCGGACGCCCGGGGTGGGTGTGTTTTCCCCGGCCAGCCATGAATGGGCAAGCGGACGTTGAGGTGGACTATAAGAAGAAATACCGGAACCTGAAACGGAAGCTCAAATTCCTAATCTACGTAAGTGTGTGTCAGGGGACGGTCCGAGCCTGGCCCCTCCTGCCCCAGGGCCCTTAGCCCTAGCCTGCTACGGGGTCTCCTGTGAATCGCCTCCCCCCTTCCCCCATCCCCCAACGAGGAGGCCAGGGCAAAGTCTCCCCATAACCTCAGGGATTCAGCCCCAGCCCTGCCCACCAATTCTGTGCTCTGTGACCTTGGGCCAGCCCCTTCCTCCTGAGCCTCAGTTTCTCTTATCTGTAAAATAAGGGGTTTTGACTAGAGTATCTCCAAGGGCTTTTCCAGCTCTGATGCTTTCTTATCCAGGAGCATGAGTGTTTTCAGGAGGAACTGAGGAAGGCGCAGAGAAAGCTGCTGAAAGTGTCCCGGGACAAGAGGTGAGAGGGTTTGGAATGGGAAAAGGAGTAGGATGCTAAGGAAGGAAAAGAGCCCCAGGAACTAAAGGGAACACTACCTTTCAGCCCTTTCTCCCCAAATCTTTCTTTAGTTTCCTTTTGGATCGTCTTCTGCAGTATGAAAATGTGGATGAAGACTCTTCTGGTGAGTAGAAAACTAGAGCATAGGAATTGAAGACCCTTTGAAGAGTGAGTACTACCTACTCCTTCATCTCTTTTCACCAGATTCCTTGAGTGCCTTTGCTTATGGTAGTAATTCAGACTTTGCAGAGTTTTTAAGATTAATAAAAAAAGTTCTCCTCTGATTTTCCGTAAAACCATATGAGGTAGATAGTACAAATTCTTCTCTTTACAAATGAGGAAACTTAAGATCAAGGAAATAGAATTCCAAGACTGGCTGGAACCATGTATCTGTCTTTCCTATTGGCTGGCAAAGCCTCCTGCCTGAATTTATTCTTCTCAGAAGGTTGAACTAGGAATCAGAGGAATTGGGTATTGGTCCCAGTTCTGCTACTTGTTAGTGACTTTGGACAAGTCATACTTTAGGTCTTAGTTTTCTAATCTGTAAAAATGAAGATAATGATTCCTGTCCTCTTTCCCACACAGGCTTATTGTGAAGATCTGTTGAGACAAACAATAATAATTAACATTTACATAGTACGGCTAAATTTTCAAAACACTTTTCTTACATTATCATAGGTAGATACTCTACAATGATATCCATATTCTACAGATGAGAAAACTGAGTCTTAATGAGGTTGTCACTTGCCCATGGTGATACAGCTATATTAATTGCCTGAGATAGGATCTTAATTTAAATCTTCCTGACTCAAAATCCAGCACTCTTTTACATGGGTGCTGTGCTTAAGAAACATATGAGAGAAATTATTATTCAGTTATCTTCTTAATTGTTTCTTGATTGCCTGCTGCTACCAGGATATTGTGCTGGGTTTTGCAGCTACAAAAGAGTCCCTGCTTACTCCCCAAGAGTTTATAGTTTAGTTTGGGGAAAGAGGCCGTATTACACATAAAGGTAGTTTGCAGGTTAAAGTAGCATATGCAGACACTGGTTCAAAGTATAGTCAGAGTTCAGAGGAAGGAAAAATCACTCTGGGATGATTATGGAAGGGAGAATAATAGGGCCCTTAGGTTAACCTGGAAGGAAGGAGAAGACTTAAATGATCAGAAAAGATGGGAGAGGACATTCCAAATAAATCAGAGCAAGAAATGTGCATGGTGTGTTTAATAAATGTTGTATCCTTTCAGTAGAAGGGTCACTGAGGGAGTAGAGAAAATAGCTCAACATTTCCCTCTTCCATTCTAGACTCAGATGCCACAGCATCCTCAGAGAACAGTGAGACAGAGGGCACACCCAAACTCACTGAGACACCAGCTCCCAAGAGGTAAGAACATATCCTCTATCCTTGTCTTAAAGACAAGCCATTTCTGTCTTTTCTTTTTTCACCTTTACCCTTATTTTTTTTGGTTACTCTGTACTTAATAAACGTCATCAAACACAAGCATTTTCATATACAGAGAAGAACAGAAAAAGAGAATTGTAGGAGAAGCTAGGAATGAGTTATATACAACTTGCCTTTCTTCAAAAAATACAATAAATTTGCCATGTTAGTTTCAAAGCTGTCCTGCTTGCCTGTGTCTCCTGAGTCTCCATTTTCTCTTCTGTAAATGTTCAATGCTACAAATGACCCTCTTTTATTTTTATTTGTATCCTTGTAAGTAGTCTTATCCCCTTCATGTAGGAGAGGAAATACCCCAAAACAACCCATGCATTTTTCCATCTCAGAAAATAATATATCTTAACCTATTTCTTTGCTCCTTCACTTCTTTGTCACATAGTTGGTAACATACTTCATTAGTGGATCTTTTGAAGTAGCAGTCATGTATTGCATTGATTAGAGTTCTTAACTCTTTAAAAGTTGTTTGGTTTTGGGTTTTTTTCAGTGTTGTAGTTATCATATAAATTGTTTTTCTGGTTCTGCTCACTTCACTCTGTGTCAGTTTATCTGAGTCTTCTTGGGTTTCTCCAATCTAAATGTTTCATTGTTGGTTATGGAACAATAGTAGTCAGTTACATTCATATACCATGATTTGTTCAGCCATTTCTCAACTTTTAGGCACTCTCTTAATTTCCATTTCTTTACTACAATGAAAAGTGCTGCTACAAATATTTTTGTACATTTAAGTCCTTTCCCTCTTTCTTTGATCTCTTTGGAATATCTGCCTAGTAGTGGTATTAGCTTCCTGTCCTTTCAAGAGGGGATAGCACAAATAGGATTTAGGCTAGAGACGAGGGTTAGAGGTTTACTATTTGGGGGTCTGATCTTCTCTGTTGTCCCCTTTCTAGGAAAAGAAGTCCCCCTCTGGGGGGTACCCCATCCCCCTCTGGCCTTTCACTACCCCCATCCTCGGGGTTTCCCCTGCAAGCCTCCGGGGGCCCCTCTCCGTACCTGACCTCGGTGAGTAGAAGTTTCAGTGGTCGTGATTTGGCCAAGGTTTTAATGTGACAGCTTTAGTTTCTACATCAGGAAAGTAAGGCCAGCTGTCTTGCTTGAAGTGGGTTTCACAGATTGGTTGAGACATCATGTGGTGAGCTTGCTTCAGGAACTGGCAGTGGCGTTGTTATTGATGGGCTGTGATTTTGTGTCCATCCAGTGTTCATGTGGGATGTGTCTACCATGTTGGCTATGAGTTGTGTCTGTAGTTTTGCCCAGTCTAATAAGACTAATTTTGTGCAGGGTTTTCATAGACAGCCTTTTTGGAAAGAGAGCAGCCAGGATGATGTTGGTGATGCCCTTAGCTTCCCAAAATGCCAAGCTGAGGGTAGGCAGCAGCTTCTTCCGAATCAGAAACCAACTTGGTGTAACTAACTAGAGATGAGCTGCATTTGTAGTCTGTGGGTCTTGGCCAGTTCCCTTCACTGATCTCAGTGAAGCTGGCCCTTCCCAGCACCGACAAGGGTCAGTGCTTACTTGACAGAGTCCTGTCTCCTACTGTTGTATGATACCACCCCACTCCTAAGTTTATTTTTATGCAAACTCAGGGTCTTTTCAGTGCTGGGTAGAGATGAGGCAAGGAGAGAAAAATCCTTCAGGAAGATGAAGATCACCTCCATGTGAGGGACCAGTTGGCAGTGTTGGGGGGAGGCAAGCAGATTTGGAAGTCACAGGATAGCCAGCTGGGCCCCACCATGCTCATCACCATTTTTTTGTTTGTTTTTCCATTTTCTCTTGTTTGGGTTTCTCCTTTGCCTTGCCTTCCCTCAATTTCTTCTCCCTCTCCCAACATCCATCCTTTTCCCATCTTCATTCTCCCCTTTTTCCCCTCCCCTGCAGCTGGCCTCCCCCCCATATTCCCCCTTCCCCTCCGACTACCTGGCCCTGCAGCTGCCTGAGCCCAGCCCCCTGAGATCCAAGCGGGAGAAACGGCCCCGCCTGCCCCGGAAGCTCAAGGTACCTGAATTTTGGGGGAGTTGGGACACTTGGAGGGGGGGTGTAGTGTGGGTTTGGGGTTGTAAAAATGATAGGTGGTACTGGCCCTGGAGGAGAACTTGAATCTAGGGGAGTTTTTGGATTACAGATAGAAATTTAAGGATCTTTTGCTAAGTATTGAGAGCCTGTTGTGTACCTAATCTACTGTGCTCGGTGCACATTTAGAAGTATAAGATATGGTTTCAACTCTTGGGCTGCAGTCTGGTTTGGTAGCCAAAATTGATCTTATAAACAATA